TATATAACGTCGAGAGAAATATTGTAGGTACACTGAGAAAAATGTCTGATTAAATATAATCGAATAATCCAACTACATAATAACAAACGGATATATCCGATTAAATTGTATATCCGATGAGAAATGTGATCGGTTTTTTAATCAAAGTTCATCGGTAACTGCATTTCATCGGATAAATTTCATCGGATGTATCTATAATTTAATCGGAAAACGTAATCGGGAAAATTAACCATCGGAAACACTATTTAATTGGTTTATCCGATGAAACATTTTCTCAGTGTATTTACAGATATTTTAATTTTAAATTTATAAGGTTGTTCTTTCTTTTATAATATTGTATGCGTATTGTAAAATAAGTTATAAAAAAATAGAATAAATATAATAAAAATGTAAAAAATCAAATTGTAAAGAAAAGAGGACCGTCGATTAAACGCGGCGGGGGTGGTGGAGGGCCTCTATGTAGATTGATTTGTTTTTATCGAATAAAATTTTAGTTCAATTTAATTCACATAGTCTTTTAATCGATAGTTTCGTTTGCAATTGATCGATAAATTTGCCTTTACAGTTTGATTTTTCGTTTGCACATTAATTAAAAATACTGTACAATTATAAGCACAGCCACATATGTAACACGTTGTGTGTACTGTGTAACAATTTCTATTAATGTTTTACATTGTAGTGGGTAACGCAGATTTGCGAAATTTTGGTTGCGTTTCGTGCTATAGTCAGGTCCTGTGCGATGCTCTTGTACTTAAGATTATTTTAAGTACAAGATCATTGCATGGGATCTAACCATAGCGCGGGACGGGACTAAAATTGTGCAAATCTGCGTTACCCACTTGGCAAAATGTGGACATAATTGGCTACATAGTTCAATGTCCACGTTTTCAATGTCCACATTGCAGAGGGCGTATCGCCAATCACGAAAAACGGGGCCCTGGCAGCTCTCAGGCTTTTCTCTGTTTATAGGGTGGTCGAGAGTGGGGACGGAAAGGCCACAGTCCAGTGGTGCACTGTAATACCGTGGCAGACTACAACGCGTTGCTTCAAGTCGTCGTCAGATGGCAAACGATGTCACATTTGCTATACCTCTAATCTGAACATGTGGTATCCAGCCTCTGATTGGTTGGCCATGTTTATGATTTTCTCCACTGAATTTTGAATTGACAATTTTAATCCACTTTTATAGTTTTACAAACGACAAGTTATCGCGATTGATTTTGATTATTTTGATGCGTATCCCTTTGTCGAGGTGTTATTGCAAAATGGTGCTGCACATCCATCCATTTTTGCAATAAATAGCAAACTCACACTATTATCAAACTTGGCGCGATGTGCGTTTATGTTGTAAGGCTGTGTTCTGATATTCACTGCCAGTACTGAAAATGTATACTATATGTGACGTAAACTATAGATTTGCAGTACTGGCAGTGAATATCGGAACACAGCCTAGGTTACGTCTCGATCTGATGGCAGCTTAAAGAGAGAGTAAGATATTCGTACTGCTCTCTCTTTCTCTCGTTGGATTTGACTAAACGGATGGCGAACAACTCTGTTGGTCAGATTCCGATTAGAAGATCTCTAACATTTGCTAGAGACTCTGTAATTAGAGTTTGGCCATAAGGAAGCACGCTATGATTGGTCTGTCATTTTTTGTTAATTTGCGCCAGTTTTACAAAGCGGTAATTATTCAGTTTAGCTTGCTCACTTACAAAATTGAATGAAATTAGGCTCATTTGACGTGATTTCTCTAAAAACAATATCTTTATAGTTAAATATAAATAGATAAATATGTATATCTAAAAACTATATTAAAAATAAGAGGTGCGAACCAAGGTCCCGGTAAAAAAATTTTCCTGCGTGAACATGAATAAATATCTACAATTATATAAAAATATACATGAAATATGTCCATACATATTTTTACATTGTATCTTTCTGTATAATTTTTTACAATTCTACACAGTTCTGCATAATTTCATAGATTTATACATGCTTTTATATAAAGAATTTTTAATGTAAAAAAACTGCTTATTTATAACCATATATAATTGTGTATAATTGCACAAAGTTATATATAATTATAAATGAGCAAATTTTTTCTTTCAAAACATTTTGCATATTAAAGCATGTATAAATATATACATTTATAGAACTGAGAGAATTGAGTAGAATTATATAAAATTATAATATATAGAAATATACAATGTAAAAATATGTATGGAAATATTTCATGTATAATTTTATATAATACTATATTTATGCATGCTCATGTATGAAACATTTTTTACCAGGGTGGAACGAAAAATGTGGAAATAAATATATGTTCAGGTATTGGGATATGAAAAACAAATTACACTAAACTACTAAAGGAAATGGAAATGTACCAGGGTCGTTAAAATTTTTTTTATATTGTGAGTGTTCAGGGAAGAATTACAAAAGAAAAATACTTCCTCTCCATTACTTTGATTTAAATATTATGATATATTATCTGTCATTTTCGTTAAATAATAATTTTTCGAATAAAGATGAAAGTTTCACACAATTCATCTTCTGAAAGCGAATCCTTTACGACGGCTTTTGGTATCGACGAGTAACTGCGCTTGTTTTTTCAATACGTTTCGAGTCGGGACTTCGTCCTCGTCTTCCGAAAGGGGAGCAGCGGCCGGCGTCGCACAAGGTGGCAACCTTGGGAACAATGGCCGGTCGCTGTTAACACGTATTGTTGTGCTTTCTACCGAGGTTGTAGCTATCGACATTGCTTCTACCTGAAAGACAATTTATGGCTCATCGTGTCAATTTACGGATTCCTTAAATTTCCGTTCACATAAATCACATGGGATTTGCAAATTCGAGAAACCGTCCGCAGGCCATTAACGGGATGTTCTGATGTAGATTTGAAAGGGCAGTAGATTTAGAAAGTTTGAAAAAAATGTAACATTTTTGCAGAAGTAACTAATTTATATTATTTATAAAAACAAATAAACTATACAAGCTATTATATTATTTTTATGGAAATATCTTTTATAAAATAAAATTCATAAGGCTCTGACGTGAAATCACAAATATGAAGTAAAAAAAGGATATAAAAGCCAAGACAGGATGTTAGTGTCTAAATAATTTTGAATTTTTTAATTTATTGTAAAAAATTTACCTCAGCCAGGTGTTGAATCTGGACCTCCATCTCTCTAAGCCGGTATTTCCCTACTTCGACAATCGAGGCGTGTATCTATTATAGTTATATCTTATTGTTAGCATTTTTTATTTTAAATAATTATAACAAGAATTAATTTAAAAAATAAAATAAAAATGTATAGCTATGACTACTTTTAAGGAACTTTTCTAAAGGTAACTGAAATTAACCTGATCTAGCAAGGCTTCGTCTATCGTATCAAAAACTTTGTCGGATGCACTTAAAACGTCCATTTTAGGGTAGACTCTATTTTTGAAAACTCCGACGCGTACTGGGGTATTCATTTTAATATCCTCAAGCAGAGGGGTATCTGTAACATGCTAAAAATGTGTGTCTTTGTAAATATCGAGATACGCATTAAGAAAGAAAAGAGAGTTTTTAAATGTTACAAAAAATCTCAACATTATAAGATCTTGTAAAAACAATTAAAAACGAGAAAATTTATTTACCTATATTTGTTCAAACTATAATATTTTTCATATAATTTTCCTTAAATCAATTTATAAATCATAGAAGTTCGCGAATAAAAAATTAATTTCAATTCGATAATCCAATAACAAAATATGTTCAAACTGTTCTAAGAATAATACTAATGAGATAACATTTTTCGCAATGAATAGAATAGAAAGGAAGTAAGTTTTTAGCATATTTTAGAAATTAAAATTAATTTTTTTAATTCTTTAATATGTAGCTCCACAAGATAACTAATTATTTTTTTGTGAACAATCTCGGTTTCCAAACAAAATAGCCCTTTATTAAGATTCTGAAGCATAAAAAAATTATTCCAATTTCCATATAAATTCATTTCTGAATATAAAATTGAGTTACCACCGTAAGAACTTTTGTCAAAGGCAGCTTTAGTCTGGGCATGTTCAAAAGTTTATCCGGACAATTTGTATCAGAAATTAACAAGTACTAGGTTTCACGTACATTTCCGATAGAATCAATACTGATTTTTCACGCGGTTCTCCCCGTGTTACTGGGCTGTTTATTTTCGATCGAGTACCGAGGTGTTAATGTAAAGGTCTGGCGATGCTACTCGAGGTGAGAATTACGGAACGCGGGTTATTCAGGAAAATCCATCGACGATACGAGATGGGTGATGCTAGGGGTGTCGAAGCTTCCAGGAACAATAAAAATAGTCGAAGATGTTCACCGTAGTCAGACACCACTAAAGGCGGTTTTACTAATTCAATTAGGTGCATACACGGCATTTCCATTTCGACATTGCCTTATCCATCGAATATGTTCGTTCGTACGTGATAATTCGTAAGGGACATGTTCCGTGCTAACCGCGCGAAGAAACGCGTTAATTAAGATCCTTCTCCACTTTAAGAATTGGCTACTCGGTTAATACTCCTTTGTCATTATTTTTATCCAACTACTCATCGTGCGATTTTTCAAATCTGAACTAATTTTCTCGTTTACCTTTATTCTCCTAGCACCGATTGTTTTCTAGATCTTAGAAGAACTTAAGAGAACTTAGTCCAAAAGTTGTGAGATCTTATATAATTGCTAGGAAACAATATAATTTTTTATCATAACCCAAAACTTTTAAACTCATGGGTACTATTATAAAAGATAAGGGCCGGTATTCATATACATAAGTCAAATCTTATATTCAAGACCGCCTTGAATTTATTTAAAGATGCTATATGGAATACTTTATTGGGTACGGAGTACCTCAAGATGATCTTAAGATAATCTTCAATATAAGATCTGTCTATGAATACCGCCCTATATATTACTAGAAATGCTATCTTATTTAGAGGGATTGTCCACTTTTTTCTGACTTGTAAAACAACGAGCGTGGAGCCTTTCTAAGCACAAGGTCTGTCTTGAGCTGTCAAATCATCTGGATTCTGTCGTCCACAGACTTATAATTACTAACTCTCACCTGGGACTTCTCACATAGTTTGTACAGTGTACCAGTTACTTCGTTTGAAAGCTCGCGGATCCGCCGACTTGCATTCTCAGCTCTCTCCCTACGTAATCGCTGTTCATCGATTTGCGAGTTAAATTTTGCCATCACTTCCGCGTTTCTGAAATATTTAGACTGCGATGGTGCAAATTAAGCAGAGTTACAGAGAGCGAATCAAACCTATAACTTGAGAAATCAGTTTTACAGACATCGTGTGAAGGCAATTTAAAAACGGATTTTTATCATGCAAATTTGAAATTCTAATGAAATCAAGCTTTTCAATTTAAGTATATCTTGTAGGTTAAAATACCCAGGAAAAAGTTATATACCTAATAATGATTGGCTAGGGGCAAAATTCATATCTGCTTATATCTGATAGCGAATTCGGTTGCTTGCACAAGTACGCACTGAGTGCACACGAAGGCTTGTTTACAGTCAATTTTTATATTTAAGAATCATCTTAAATATCTCTTGAAGTATTTCATAGCCAGGAAAATGATCTGTATAGCATCCACGCGAATCATTTTTTGGTCAAATACTTTTTGAACATGTATTTAAAACAAAGTTAAATATAAAAAATTGACTATAAACAAGCTTTAGTGTGCACTCAGTGCGCACTAGTGCAAGCTACCGAATTCCGGCTATTAGATATACTCAGATATGATTAGATATGTACATTATTTCCCGGGTAGATCTTAATTCTAGATTAGACTCACACTATTTCAGTGATTTCTCTTTAAGTTAATCAAATAAATTAAATTAATAGATCTAATTAACAGATTATATTTAATAAAGGATTTAATAAAGGACACCGCACTTTACCTACATAGGTCCCGACCGATTTGAAGAAAATCAGCTGGGACTTATTTTACTTAGAAAAAGTGCGGTGTCCTTTGCCTTAATCTTTTCCTTGTCAATGTATGCTCTCTTGAAAACTAACTGTTCGGCGCTCTTCGTTTCTGAAAATTTCCTCGTCTCTATCTCCACGTTAAGCTCATGCCTCCTCTTTTCTAACACCATCTTCTCTTGTTCCGTGGCCGTGCGCATCTTCTGCAGGCTCTCCTTGGTCGCCTGCTGACCCAGAAACCGGTTCAAAACTTCCTCGGACCTGGACACTCCGGTAGCGCTCCGCAACTTGGCAAACGCCTCCTCCAATCGCGCCAGCTCGTCCTTGATCGTGTCCTCTTGCATCTGTACGCGACTTTTCCCACGTGTTTCGAAATTGTCACGCGGACGAGTATGGAATATCATGCGCTCCAACCGCTCCAATTCTATCTTTCGGTCCGACACACGCTGCCTGATTATGCACAAACGCCAAATTATATTTGCCACGTGCTAGTCCGTTATTAATTATATTGTTACTCAGAAAATCTATTGTTAACAGAACTGTGATTAGAAGAAGTTGCGGTTGCAGTAGCGTTCGCAACAGAAAGTTGATTCTTGAAATGTAAAAGCTATCGTTCGTGGACCTGTACTCTTTGATGACAGAATCGCGTCTCTTGCTGGAACTTGTCTCCTCGATTTCCTCTTTCGCCAAAGTCTCTTGAGTGCTATCTTTCAATTCTATAGCCTCTTCCTTCACTCCCTGCAATCAACGGTTGATATTAAACGAAATACATTTTATTGAAAAATTCCCGTTACTCTCTCCGTTATTATTAGTCGTTACTCTCCACATGACCTTACCTGTAAGCGCTTCATCTCGTTTTCCTGCTGCTTTATGCCGTCTTCCAAATCTTTCAAGGAGGACGCGTAAAATACCGACTTCTCTTTTAACTCGGAGCAAACGGAACGGTATTTCATGCGCGCGATATTTGCCTTAATTTGCATCATTCGGATATGCTCCAGCTTTACTTCCAGAGTCTCGATTTTCTGCGCAAACCCAAGAGTAGCGTTTGTAAAAGTACGTCGCTTTCGCGAGGAACAAATTTGAATTGAATTACCTTCTTCATAGGATCTTCCGTCTTCTTTTTGAACACGCAATGATGGCGTTTATGTGCCAATTCTTTGCTTTCTGTTTGTAAAATGTTCAAAGTACGTTCGTGCTAATAGGGTGCAGATGAGTTGAGACATTTAACGTATCGTCATCTGTCATATCTCGAGAAAATGCATATATAGTTACTCACCTTTTCTTTTTCATATTTAATTACATCTAGTTTTTTTCTTAGACGTACATTATTTTCACTTGCCGCGTTTACAATTTCCTCCAAATTGCATTTGTTTCCGCAAGCTACGGAGTCGCGGCTGAGTAGAGCCGCGCGTTCCAGCGCTTCTTTATTCTAAAAGATTTAACATTAGTTTAATTAACATTAGTTTGCAAAAACTAATTAATTATCTGTTTTCTTAATTATCTGTTACATTTTTCGCTCTCGCATATTTTATATAAAGTTCTTTGACTTTCTTCTTGAGATCAGAAATTTGTTGAGCGTTTTCACACTTCTTTGCATCGTATTCCTCAAAATTTGCCTTTCTTTGGCCCTCTGCAATAAATATTGTCATATTGTATCTTATGTTCCTTAAAAGATATTATGTTTCTAAAACATTGCAAAAACAGGTGCATTTAACAGTGTTCGTAATCAACAAATTTATAAAATGATTTTTTCTACAATTATATCGTTATTCATCATTTTGACAAATCGCTGATGATGCGGGTGAAAGTTGTGTTACAAAATAAGTAATAATTAAAGCACAAGAATAGTCGTTGAGTTTCTATAATAACAGCTCAGGACTAAGGCACGTAAGTTGCACTAGTGCCTGATCATAAATCAACCAGTTTTCCAAGTGTACATCGTTTCGTGCGTTTATCCACATATACAAACGCACCTTCGCGACGAACTCTAAGTTAACATCGCAATTTTCTGCAAAAACGATCGTAGAGTAGTACGTTGATGCTAAGCTATTATCGCTTTCCTAGATGGCTTTAAGGAAAAATAAAATAGAAACAGTCAAGCCGGTCGGTTCGCACGAGCGAACGAGTTTTTGATACGTTAATTCGATCTCAGTTACGGAAAATGCGAACGTGTCTCGATTTATGAGAAAACTTCCGTCGGCTATTACTGCCGAGAGCACTACACGGTGAGCCACGTGCGTAAGTATAGTAGATAAAACGGCGACTATATAGCACCAGCAGTGACTCGAGTATACAACGTTAGATAAACCTATTCAGCTGTCTCGATTCCCTGTAATGGCACGAGATCTTTTAAAGCCAATCTATTCAATGCTCGTCACTATCGAAGCTGCTTATTATTTGTGTCGGGCATCCAACGTCGGCTCATTAATGCGAGTGTAAACACGCCGCGAGAAAAGTTTACGCAAAGAGATTCATTCATAGCCACTCTCCATTTAATCAGAAACTTTTTTGATCGGTTATTCTGGAAAACGGCAAATTAATTATTAATTAATTTTTTTAATTTACGAGACTTCTTCCATCAAACTAAGGTTGTAAAACTATAATTTATAAAATAAAATAAATGTATAATATAATAAATGTATAATAATAAGATAAAATATGAAAAAAGTATTATAAAAGAAATTAGGTTGAGTACAAAAATAATATTATTATTATCATATTTTATGCATACGACATAGAATTTAGACTTGAACTCATATGAAAAACTGTAGTGTTAGGTAAAATATTATTATAATTTACTATTAATAATTTAGATAAAGTGAAATAACTTAATATAATGAGTAACATAAATATATATATAAGAAAATCACACACTCTAATATCGATAATCAATAAATAAGTATTTGATTTTTCAGCCATGATATAAAAAACTTGTTATTAAAATATTAGCTCTGTTTGAAGATAACACATTTTCTACATTAGACATTCTTCAGACTCTGATGTGAAACTGGAGCGATTTCACGTTAACAGCACTTTTTTGCAAGTCTCTCCACTGTGTTTAAGTACACGACAGTCTTTCTTGGCCAATAATTATGCAATGGAAACGCAATTTTCTCGCGTTATCTTATAACACGTAATCTAATCGATTGTATCTCATTAGATTTTGCTCCCCTTTTTCATTCTACTTTTGTGCTACTTATTTTTATACATGTACACGAGATGCCGTGTCATCTCGGATACTGGTTATTCCAGTTAGGCTTGTTCATATTTATCATTGTGTAACACGATCACGATCCTGAAATGTCAGTGAGCTGTCTTTTTTGGCAGACCTTGCTCTGTGGTGTGACAAACATCTAAATATTAAAACACACGGTGCTTTATTTACACTGCACTATTTTTCGATTGCAGGTTTTTTCATAATTTGGAAGTACGAGATTCATACTTTTAGCCTGTCAATTTTTAACTTTATAAATATTTTTTCTTTAAATTTATAAATATTTTTTAAACCCTGGCTGAAGTAAATTTTTCGCAATAAATTTAAACATTAAAATTATTTAGACACTAACATATTGTCATGGCTCTCGTTCATTTATTACTTTACATTTGTGTTTTCACATCAGAGCCTTATGAATTTTATTAGTTGTTTAAATATTTTTTCCAACACAAAACAGCAAATCTTTATTCAAGTTGAATTAACTAAATATGTTGTCTTATTTTTGGAGTTTAACTCTATGGAACCTTGACAGTTTTAATTTCTAATTAAATCGAAACCTTTTGATAATTAAAAAAAGAATTGACTTGAAGCACTCAATAAAAGTTTCTGTCAATATAAAGTGAAGCTACAGAAATAGTACACCCTGTATAAGCGCAAGATCTGACTCTGCAACTTTGTCGTAGAGCAGTTTTGCTGCATCGACTCGCTGTCGGAGGGTTGTCAGGAACGGTATAAATTAGCGAAGGATGTTTTGTGCAATTTGAGCCGTTACCTGACAACTGGATTTTCTTCTTGATCTCGACGATCTTTTTATTGAGCTCGTTCAGCTTGTTCTCGGCGGCGGATAGAGTCAGATGTTCGGACATGTTTTCGCGAATGAGAGAGGGTGTCCACGTAGAACAGCGTATCGACTTAATAATGTTGTTCGTCGTCCGGACGACTTGAATCTGATTCTCCGGTATCGTATATCGAGACCTGACGTTAAGTGAAGCACATAATTTGAACAGGATAAAGGAATAAGGGAGAATAAAATTATCAACGAACTTGTTATAACACAAAGTTAAAAGATTTAAGGGGCAATAAATGAGCAATAAGAGGCTTAAAAATTATAGTCTCAGTTATTAATACAAAAATTTAATCGTTTTCAGAACGTTTTGAGCTTCACTGAGCCTTCATTGGTCGCAACGAAGAAAAATAACAAAAAACGCGAACATTATAAACGGGAATATTACGTAAATGTGAGGTAAAATAGAGATAACGTGTTATAAGTTATTGAATATTGGAACAATGAAAATTTGCTATTAGATCGGCTACATCCCAGACAGCACACGTTTAAAATGCGTTATAAAGATATCTTTAAGACATCTTTCAGACATACGTGTCTAAAAGACAACCTAATGATGTCTTAAAGATGTCTTTTAGACATGTACGCAATCTGGGATAACTCATAACTCTAATTAAAAAGTTATTATATTGTCATATATTTATACAGGGTTGGGAAAGTTACTTTATATAGAAAAGTATCTAGTTACAGTTACAGTTTCTTCGCTAAAAATGTAACTAGTTACAGTTACAAGTTACTAATTCTGAAAAGTAACGCATTGCAGTTACAGTTACTAAAAAAAAGTATACTTTTTAATACCTTTTTATACATTTTTATACATACTCGTATAATGTGTAAAAAAATTAAGAAAGAAAACTACGTGTCAACTATTCGATACAATCGCCACTTGTTCAATGAACTTGCGTCACTGGGAAACCAGTGATTGGATTTTACAAAAACAAAAATTCTTTTTGCCGATCGCCACTCGTGCACTGCCGCATCATAAATGTCCTGGTAAGACTGGAAGTGACAACCACGTCTAACTGTTGACCAGAAGTTAGTCGATTCTCTGTCTCTTCTTAGATAACAGAAAAAGATAGAAAGTCGACTAACTTCTGGTTAACATTTAACCAGAAAATAAAAATCTGGGCCTAAGTGATTCAAAGAGATGGTAATCGCTTGGTGAAAAGTCTGGTGGATAGAGTAGTCGTATTACGAAGCGCAAGAGGTTCGGCATTGTCTTGAAGGCAAACGCCTTTCGACATGAGAACCCGGTGATTTTCTCGGATCGCTGGCTTCTGATGGTTTTGCAGGAGATCGCAGTAACTTCTGCCGGTCACAATTTGACCCATGGACCAGAACTCCACTTCGTAACACGGTGCATGAGAGGCGTGACGGTCGGCGAAAAGAATTTTTTTCTTATGTATTCAATCGTTGGAAAACAAGTAATAAAAAATATAAACAATAATTTTTTAAAAGAGATATCAGAGAAATGTGATATCCTTAAAATATTGAGAATATATCATCTACGAGATATCTCAAATATGACCGGTGAAATGATATCTGATTTAAAGTCTCAGATATATTTTGCTATGTGGGTAAAATGGTCTAGATCGCTTTTGCGATTTTCATTAGACTCTACCTTGTAACAAATACATTAATTCAACCACCGTTCGCTTCGCTGAAAGGCATTTACGCTTTACATGAAATAATCGCTACGAATTGACGCAATTAGAGTAGGTACTTAAAATTTATCCGCTAAACTTGCGCGAACGAAAAAAGTGTAGGAAGTAGCTTCCCACTATAATTCACGCTGCATTATTTCGACGAAGAAATTTCTGCGAAGCTAGTGCGCGACGGCGCGCTATTAATTATGCGGCTATCTCCGTTTCTCCATCTGCTTTGTTTTCAATGACGAATCTCACCAATTGGACGCCGACCGTCCCGTCGCGCTCCACGGGACAATTGTACCGTGGCCGCGCTACGTCGTCGTCGCCAGGCGCAGATGTTTGCAGTTCGATGATAAGGTTAATGGCATCATTAATAAGGCCAATGGGAAGCGTGCGTTTGCCGCTTCGTGCGTGCATCTCGCGTGCTGCGGGCACAAAGGGGGTAGAGGAGATTATTCATAAAGGACCCTGCCTGCCTTCCTCCGCCCTCGCTTCGCCGGCGGAGAGTATACGGTCTTAAGACCGAGTTCACCGAATTATAATTCCGCATTTGTATTCGTTAAGGCGCCCGCCGGTTAAGGCTATAGCCGCGATGAATTTTGCGTTACACGCAATCAAGCGCGGCCGAGCGTTAATTAATGATCAGGCACGCTATACGCTCCTCTCGGTGCGTCGACCGCGACTTGCTGCGTATCGGTGTGTGGAGCATCGATTGCTCCTTGCAGCGCAGTATTCGATAAGTAAGGGACAGATGATATCATAATAAGAAGGTCCTCTATTACGAGATAGGATTCTAACGGGATAGTAGGTTTTCATCGTCCAAATTCAATCACAAATCTTTTTTCGCAACGATTACACGTTCTAACAATCAATTTTCCCCATAATAGGGAACTTCCTGCTACTAGTATCGACACTGATTTTAACCTGATTGTTGCTTAATGCAACTCGAGAGACATCAACGTTCGATTGAAAAGCTTGGAAAGCTATGTCATAGTTTCGTTGTGTTACACGTTTTATTACTGCAGCTAACGCGTGAGAGAAGTGTTCGATAAAATCATAGAGATATAAATATGTTGATAGCTTTAATCCTTTCCTAAGGATTTTTAATTTTAAGCGGTTGTTTAGCAGAATATTTTTAAGCTATTTTAAAAAGGGGTTGTTTCGTTATTATTTGCTTATGTCAATTTCCAATGTGTGATTTCAGTAAATTGCAATTAAATTTGTAGTATAATCATATAAATATTTTCTTGATAACAAATCTTTCATAATTATTAGAGAAAAAAGAGAAATCTCATTGAACACAGAGAATTTAAAAGAACACAGAGAATTTAAAAGAACACAGGAATTTTTGTGCTATATGTAATTGCATTCTCATATTTTTCAGTATATTCGTATGAGAAACACGACTAGAATGTCTAATCGCAAAATTTCAGAATACTTTTTACGCCCACGAACTAATTAAGGCTGACTATTCGTACGCAATTAAGGTAACGTCATAGAAAAAAGAAATATCAGGTGTTAATTAAAGACATCTTTCACATGCGATATAATGGGATTCGTCGTTAAGGATCCGTGAATAAAGCGCCGCATTAATTATTCCGGTTTAGTGATCGACCATTTTGCGATGGCGACACACAATATAAATTGTTTACAATAGCTCAACTTTTAACTCCAATAATTACGTCAAGCATTCGTAAATAAGGTGATTGTTATGGTCTAAAAAAATTTATTAAAAAAATCCCTTATTAGCGTAATGCCTATACAAAATGAGATTTCTTCAAAAGAATTTCTTTCCGCTGTGAATTCTTACAGAGTAATTTAAAAAAGTCCCGTTGTATCCAAAAAAGGGCTCAGGCTTGCTGATATAAAAATGAATTCTGTTTAAACTCTTGAGAATGTTTTCTTCAATGAGATGGAAAAGGAATTTATTTTGTAATTCGAAAATTTAAAGAGTTATTGTAAATTTAGATAACATAGAAAATTCATTTTGAATTTTCTGTGCTGTCTAAATTTACAATAACTTAATTTCGATAATACTGTTAATATTGTTAACGTCAATATTGTTAACGTAACATTGATTTGAAGTAAAGTAATGTTAATTAATATGAAGTAATATTAGAATTACAATCGGCGTACAAATAAACGAAGAGAATTTTCTCTTAAAACTTTTCCTGAAAATTATGTGATCGTAGAACAGCAAGGTGGCATTTCGAAGAACTTTATGAGAGTCTTTCGAAATGTTACTATACATTTTACTAGTAAAATGTATACTAACTATACTACTAAAATTACTACTAAAATAACTAAAAGTAAAATTACTAGTAAAACTTGTATACAGG